CTTTATATGCAACTCAGTGGGGTTTGTTTAAAGATTTTATTCATTTATTTTAGAAAGAGACAGAGAGGGGCACCTGGGTGGCTCAGTTGGTTAAGTGTCTGCCTTTGGCTCAGGTCATGATCCCAGAGTCCTGGGATTGAGCCCCGCATCGGGCTCCCTGCTGGGGAGGGAGTCAGCTCTCCCTCTGACCGTCCCCCTCTTGTGCTCTCTCTCTCAAATAAATAAAATCTTAAAAAAAAAAAAACAGAAAGAGACAGAGAGTGCAAGAGCAGGGGGAAGAGCAGAGGGAGAGGGAGAGAGAGATCATCTCCAGCAGTTTCCATGCTGAGTTCAGAGGCTGACATAGGGCTCGATCCCAGGACCCCTCAATCATGACCTGAGCAGAAACCAAGAGTTGGACACTTAACTGACTGAGCCACCCAGGTGCCCCAATTCAGTGGGTTTTAAGTAGACTTCAAGAACTGTGCAGTTATCACGATAATACAATTTTGCATGACCCCTCCAAAATCTGTTATGTCCATTTGCAGTCAATCTCCATTCTTAACCCCAGCTCCAGGAAACCACTAATGTCTCTATTATTATATATTTGCCTTTTCTGGACATTCCATATAAATGGAATCATACAATACTTGGTCTTTTGCATCTGGCGTATTTGATTTGGCATAGTATGTCTGAGATTCCTCTTTGATGCAGCATATATCAGTACTTCGTTCCTTTTTATTGCCAAATAGTATTCCATTATGTGCACGCACCACATTTTGTTTATCTATTTTCAGATAAAAGACATTTGGATTGTTTCCACTCTGGGGCTCTTAGGATAATGCTGCTATGCATGTTCATGTACATGTTTTTGTGTAGAAAAAAAAAGAAATTCATTCTTAGAGTAATGTCTTTGAAGTGTTATTAAGGTTTATTTAATAATTATGTATTCTTATACTAAGTCAAATGCTGAAATATCTAGGTGAAATAGGAGGGTAATGATGTACAATGAAAATGAAAAATGTCATCCAAAACTGAATTATATATAAATGGTTAACTTTAGAAAAAATACTATAAAAATAACATGTACGTATAACTTTATTTTCAGGTGCTCCAGTATTATTTCAAGGATTACAGCCTGAAGAAGAACTACAGCTGTGGAGTGAGGTAAAGCATTGCCCTTATACAAATTAGTGGAAAGTTTACCTTCTTTGAAATTATCAAATGAAATAAGATAATTGAGTTTCGGGACAACTATGATTTTACTAACATTCTGATATCATAATATTCAGAATTATTATTCTTTTGAAACAAAAGGAGAGACAAAAAGAAACAAAACAATTATAGCAAATGGTAAAGTAAGATGGCAGAAATAAGCCCTAATAATAGAGTAATTACAAAAAGTATGGGAAAGGACATAGCAAGCAAATATGGCTGTAAGAAAATTGGAGTAGCAGTCTCAATATCTGATAAAATAGAATTCAAATAAACAAATCATCTTAGCAAAGAGGGACCTTATTTTATGCTTTTATTAAATTATGCTAAGTATCTCAGTATGCTCAGATCTTAAATTATGCTCAGTGTCTTATGCTGATAAAAGAATAGCAGGGTAAATGATACAGCCATTATTAGTATGTATTTTTAAAAACTCAAAATTTACTTAATAACTGATAGAACTTCAGGGAACATTTGTAGTTAGAGATTTTAATACACTGCTCTCAAAACTGATAGTTAAAACAAATAACATCAGTAGATATAGCAAAGATTTAACCACACAATAAGTTTGGTCTATTAGAAATATTTTTTAAAATCTACACTAAATAGTATACACATTCTTTTTTGAGTATAATTGGAACATTAAACAAAAATAGACCGTGTGTTAGGACACAAAGAAAATTTCAGTAAGTTAAAAAGGAAGTATTTTAAATGTTTTCCGATCATAATGCAATAAAATGAGAAATTAACAACAAAAGTATAACTTCAATATCCCATCTGTTTGGAAAATAAGTAATATTTTGGTAAATAATCCCAGGCTAAAGAGGAAATTACAGAATAGTTAGAATTAAATGACATAAAAACATTATAAATCAAAATTTGGGGGGCCTGGCTGGCTCAGTCAGTAGAGCATGCAACTCTTGATCTCAGGGTCGTGAGTTCAAGCCTCATGTGGGGTGTAGGTGGACTAGAAGTGCCTGAGAGTAAATGCTCCCAACACTGAAAATAACCCTCAGTTGGTGACCCAAGGGAATTGGTGGGTAAATACCTCAGCTGCTTCGTCCCTCAATTGGGATAACAGATGTATTCTGCATTGGCTCCTAGAATTCCCCAGACAGATTGATCCCAGTTACTCATGGTGGTAATCTGCTTGATAACATACACTTTATGGGATTCCTTCTCTTCCCTGTTTGTCTTCTTCACTATTCTGCCAGTGCTTCTTGGATCATCTCCCTAATAATCTACTCATATCCACATCACTATCTCAAGGTCTGTTTCTGGGAGAACCCAAACTAAGGCAGAAATGCACAACTTACAATAAAAGTAACATTAAAAATCAGAGGGAAAAAAAGAGATTGTTTGGCAAGTGAAGGTTGAGAAACTGGCTCGCTGTATGGAGAAAAATAAAGCTAACACTCCACTGATGATTTTGTAATGTATGTAAATATCAAATCACTATGTTGTGCACCTGAAACTAATATATGCCAATTATTCTTCAATTAAAAAAACTAACAAGTGGGCTCCAAGTTGATTAAAGATCTAAATATAAAGGGTAAATTATAGAGTTAATAGAATATATCTTTTCTATTAGGAAAATATCTTTGTGAGCTAGGAGCAGGGAATGACTTCTTAAACAAAATTTCAAATAGAAATCATAAGGCCAAAAAGATGATGGATTGAATTACATTAAAAGTAAAGATTTCTTTCAAAAGGATTACATTTAAAAAGTAAGAGCCTTTGAAAGTTGTTGGTTGTGTCTAAAACTGACAAAGGAATAATTTCTAGAATCTCTAAGATATTCCATCAAACCAAATGGATAAAGATAGGGATCCAAGGCAAAAGTAGACAAAAAGAACAGACAATTTACAAAGAAACCTAAAGGCCAACAAGCGTCTAACAAGATGCTCAGATTTATTAGTAATAATGAAATGAAAATTAAGACAACAACAAAGTGTGACTCTCTACCCATTAGACTGGCAAAAAAATGGAATCTAGATAATGGCAAGTGTTAGCAAGGATGTGGGATGTACAAACCTCACTCATTGCTGGTGAGAGTGTCAACTGGTGGAGCTATCTGGAAAGCAACCTAGATATCCTCTTGATCTAGCATTCCATCTCCTGGGCATGTAGCTCAAAGATGTCCTCCTATAGATCCATAAGTGGAGGATAGATACAAGGAGGTTGATTACAGCTTTGCTTTTAATGGAATTGGAGGAAACCCAGCTGTCTATCACTGGGGAATGGGTAGGCAACAGACATAGAGTAGGTGCACATTTTAGAGTATTCTATAGCAGTTAGGAGCAACATACTAGATGTCCCCAGTAACATGGATAGATCTCAAAGTATAGTGTTAAGTGAAAAAGGTAAGAAAGTACCATACATGCACACCAAATAGCAATACAAATTTTACAAGAACGTAAATGGAGACTACTCATCAAATAAATTAGAAGAGTTGCCCGTGGGAGGATGAACTAGGAGTAGGAAATTGAAATATAAAAGAATAAATAAATAAAGCCATTTCAGTGATGATCATGAACTAGGAGCTGAGGAGAATATTCTGTGTACCTAAGCCACCTCTAACAAAATACATAAAGGAAGAGATAAGATGGATAGTAAGTGCCAAGTACTACACAATCTCTAATGACATAGAAATTCATAAAGTCTGTTATAAGGTTCTCTGCCTTGGTATATCAAAATACATGCTAGAGGTATATAAACAAGAAGAATAATTTAGACAACAGACATTAATGTATAATTCAGAAACATTTATTTTAGCTTGAAATTATCTATATTTCTGTAGAAAATCTTTGAAGAAATATTTTAGATGATAAAGCTGGGAAAAAACTATTGTTGTAAAACACTATCAATTCTTTTACAGAAAAAGATACTTAAAGAAATTAAGACGCTAGGGGCGCCTGGGTGGCTCAGTCATTAAGCGGCTGCCTTTGGCTCAGGTCATGATCCCAGGGTCCCGGGATCGAGCCCTGCATCGGGCTCCTTGCTCAGCGGGAAGCCTGCTTCTCCCTCTCCCACTCCCCCTGCTTGTGTTCCCTCTCGCTGTCTCTCTGTCAAATAAATCAATAAAATCTAAAAAAAAAAAAAAAAGAATAAATTAAGATGCTAAAACATGTACTTTTCTGCTGGAGGTTTTAAAAATGACTGAGCTATTCAGACACTAGAAACACATCCTTTTCAGACCTTATACAGAAACCTAACCGTTTTCAAACAGATTCATCAACGGGCTCTCCAGAGTTCTCAGAAGCAATTAGGGGCACTTAAAACCATTAGGGCTACCAGCTGAGTAAAATGAACAAATGCTTATCCAAATGGAAAGTGGGTGAGCAGTGTTGCTGTGCCTTTTAAAGAAAAGAGAACAAAGACTGAAGAGCTTTGCAATTATCTCCTAATTTGATTAATTGGTGTTTTTTCTTATTCTGATATTTTTATTCAAACAATATTGATGCACTGATTAGTTAGCCCTTAGATTCAAGGGTTCGCTGTTCTTGGACGAGGCCACCTCACCTCGGCCGGCAGCCTGGTCTGCAGGTGGACAGCTTTGCCTTTGAGCATGTGGTATCTTCAGATACCTAAGGACCACAAAAATCTTAACGCGAGGAACCAGTTTCCTCCAACCCTACTGATGCAAACTAAGTAACACTTAGGGGTGATATATTAAAACATTGGTCACAGTTCAAAGCTTTAGAAAGGTATCTTTTTGCCTTTCCCCTCTCAATTGACTTCTCTTTTTATTTTTCCACAAGTTCAATGCAATTTAATTTAAAGAATATTTATTGAGCACTGATTCTGGGCAAGTCAGATATGGCATAGCTCCTGCCCTGTGTGCATATATATGTGTGTGCATGCGTATGTGTGGGTGTCTTTGTAGTCGTGATTCTGGATTTGTACGGCATGGAAGAGGGGCAGGTGGGTGGGCACAAGGGATAAGAGGAATTAAAAAAAAAAAATTCCCTAACTATTTGTGACCTATGGAGAATATGACAGGCTCTGTGAGGATAAAAAGGAAAGAGACATTAAGCCTTTGGTCTTGGATAATATTGTATACCTTCGTTATTCTCTAAATTGGAGAATCATATGTTATAGTACATGTTCATCTTGGAATCAATAAGGAGCATGAGGAATTATGACCAAAGAGTATGATTATCCCCTCTTCGGTAGAGGGTAAGAATGGAGACTAAATCAAACTAATCAACAAAGAATAAACAGAACTCAACTTAAATCACCCCAGACAGACAAGAAATCAGGACTATTTCTCCCAGTCCCATTTTAAAAGGCCACCAAAGAAATAAATGCCATAAACTACTCCAGACATCCAGCTTTAGTGCTTAACTTCGCAGCACAGTTTTTTAATGATTAATGTAAATCTCTTATACTATAGTTCAAAGTCTTTCAGTTTTTCTCTTTAGGATAAAGGCTGAAAACTGCTGTCAACTGTAGTTCAATAAACCTTTATTTTTTTTTTAATCTGTAAAGATTTCTTTATTTCAACCACAAGAGCTAATATTCCCTACTTCTAACTATTGCCGTTACAAAAATACAACAGTATTTTGTTGTACTGCCACCTCCTTTTTCATAAAGATCATTTGATATCACATTTTATTTATAAAATTCAAAATGTTCCTTAGTACTACAAAACACAGGCGAGTCCCTGAACATCTATTTCATGGTAACGTACATCCATGTTATAAGTAAGCCACAAACAGTATCTCCATTTAGATTTTCATCATGTATTGTATATTAAATTGTCGTTAATCTTCAAAGGGAAATTAGATATGCACGAGTCCCACTGAATGAAGAAGCTGCATCACATTATCTTTGCTGCGCCCACAATCATCCACATGATTTCACACACCCACTAGGAACACAGGTATTTCATGAAGTGATTGGAGAGTAGATACACATTAAAATTTGCCAGTTATAAATGCCAAATAGGGTCAGTATAAAAAAGCATGTTGTAATTAATTATACCTGTCCAAAAATCCATCCCCTTTATCTTTTGAAGCATACTAGCAAATACATTATGTAAGCATTTAACTCATATTCCCTATAATAAATACTCTGACTTGAAGTAATGTCTGAAGAGAGTGACTGACTTACTTCTACTGTCAATTTTGACATTTATTGACATTTGATGTTCCACGAAATACTTTTCTCAGTTTTTCTATCTGTAAAGTTATTTTCCTTTATGCACTCCCTGGTGTTTTCTGAGGGGTATTTTTTAAAACAAAGGTCTTTCCTCTTTCATTACATTTCTAGAGCTTGAATCTAGTGTGACTTTGGGGATACTGAGTAATGACTGAATTCCAGTTAAAGGCTTTGCCACTTTCTTTACATGTTATGTTTCTCTCCTGTATAAGACCTATGATGGTGAGTCAGTTGTGAGTTCCAGTGAGAGGCTTGCCACATTCTTTCTATTGGTAAGGTTTCTCCTCAGTATGAACTCTGTGTTGGTGAATAAAAGTTGAGAAGTCCTTAAAGATTTTACCACATTCTTTACATTAATAAGGCTTCTCTCTAGTATGAATTCCACGATATTGAATAAGGCTTCGCCACTGATTAAAGGGCTTCCAAATTCTTTATATTTGTAAAATTTCTCTCCAGTATAAGTTCTCTGATAACAAGTCAAGGATTAGCATTGTTTAAAGGCTTGCCACATTCTTTAACTGGCACTCATGCCTTACTCAACAGCAAAGAATTCAGAAATCTATAAACTTGATAAATGTGGGATGATGCTTAACCATCCATTGGTGCTCAATAAGTATCAGAGTATCAGTCATCGGGAAGAACTTTACCTGTGTAGTAAAATTAGAAAGGCCTTTACAGAGGAATCAAATATAAAAAAATACCAGAGCCCGGAGGGGAAGGGAAGGAAAAGTAAAATAAGATGAAATCAGAGAGAGAGACAAACCATAAGAGACTCTTAACCATAGGAAACAAACTGAAGGTTGCTAGAGGGGAGCGTTTAGGGGGATGAGGTAAGGGGGTGATGGGCATTAAGGAGGGCACTTGAAGTAGTGAGCACTGGGTGTTGTATGCAACTGATGAATCACTGAATTGCACCTCTGAAACTAATAATATAGTATATGTTAATTGACTTTAAATAAAAAATTTTAAAACAACTACCAGAGCCTTTATAATGGAGAGAGAATAGATCAATGCAGTGAATCTGAAAAAAAGTTTAAGCAAGGCTCAAATGCTATTAAACATCTGAGGACTCACTTTCCAGAGAACCATTATAAATGTAATAAATGTGTGAAGGTCTTTTCTGAAAGCTCAGATCTTATTATACATAAGAGTATCTATATTGGAGAGAATCCTTATAAATGTAATGAATGTGGGGAAAACTTTTAACCAGTCCTCCAATCTCGCCGAACATCAGAGAATTCATGTTGGAAAAACCCGTAGAGATGTAATAAATCTGGGAAAATCTTTAGTCAGTGGTCACGTCTAAATAGACGGAAGACAACCTGAACTGGAGAGAAAACTTACAGATGTGAAGAGTGTGGCAAAACCTTTACTGATTCCCCAGTAAACCTTCACTGAACTAGAACCCTTTCCTAATGCTGGCTCCTTGCTAGAGAACTGGTAGACTGCTGTTGTGTAGAGTTTTTTCTGTATGCTGTTTATCATTTAGAACTTATGCTATTATCATGTTAATTTAGATGATGTGATCAGATTTATGTAATAAAGAACCACATGATAACAGAGTGCCCCTTAATTTTGAGGCTATTCTTTCTATTCTAAGATGTAACTGGCATTTTTATTTTCTACAGATAGATGACGCTTGTTCGGCCTTGCTGTCCCTTGATTCTCAGCCTCAGGTAATTCCAGTTGGAGGTGTTTTGTAGTAACATAAGTAGGTGTCACTCCATTTCTCCCTCCGGACCTGTCATGACGTTATGGACTCATTTAAACATGTGAACACATTAGAAATTATTACATTACTGGCAGGTAATAATCAGTGCTGTGAGTTTATGTTGTAAGGTCGTGCTGGGGCCTTTCTCTCTAAGGGAAATAGGTTTGCAGATAATATGCACATATTTTGGAAATGAAAATGCTAATTTCAGAATCAAGTTCTGTGTTAGATTAAAAATAATGTATCTGTTGTTGCATTTGGAGGCTAATATCCTCTCCCTCGACTGAGTTTGAAACCCATAGAGAGAGAAACATGGAGTCAGACTTATGGAGATCAAAGTATCACTGTAACTGAAAAGTCAATTTATGAATGTGGCCTTCGATCGGATACCAAGTGTGTTTGCTAAAACTACTCCCAGAATTTAACGGGGGCTTAGAGGGTGATTCGAGGCCTCCCAGCCTGTCAGGTTTTCCAGCCCAGGGCAGAGACCCAACAAGAACAGCCAGCCAGCGAGCTGGCTCCCTAGGAGGAAAGGGCTGAACGGAGCCTGCCCGGTTGCCTCCTCCCGGTCATTGGTCAGGGGACTCCCTCCTCTTCCCCCAGGAAAGAGTTCGGAGAGGGTTGAGAAGTGAGGAGTGTTCGTCTAGCTCCTGTATGTGGAAGCGTGAGGCGTTGACGTAAGCGTGCCCTCGGGATGCCATCTCTGCGGCTCTACTTCCTGGTGTGGGTGGCGCAGAGTCAGCGTCAGTGGGTTGCCTTTCTTCATCCGAATCACAAGTTTCCTGGACCGAGAGGAGGGCTCAGCAGAGGCTCTCCGCTCAGCCTCTTTCCGAGCAGTCAGCGGTGTGCCTGGGGCGTAAGCCCTACGTGGTCTGGCTGAGGAGCCACGCCACGGTCACGTGGCCCTCCCCGAGCGCCGTCACGGCCCCTGGGGAGAAGCAGCTTGCAATGAGGATAAGTGCTACCTTCCTCCTGCCTCAACCCACTCCCATCTGCAGGCGAGCATGCACAGCAGCTCGTGGCATTGGATGGCAAAGCAAGACCGGGATCACAACAGATGACATTTCTGAACAATGTTTCAAGTCGCTGGAGGAGCACTGATGGCTATAGAACATAGGATGGATGTTAATCAGCATATAAGCTTCTGCATTGTATTTAAAATTCAGGAACACCCTCAGAATCATTTTATGTCTTCAGTACTAAAAGGATGAATTTAAAACACTCATCTAGACACCATGAAGCCAGACGAAGCTTTTACCGAATTTGGAGACTGTGCACCTTTTGAGGAGAGCTCTGGTAAATTTACTATGGAACCGTTTACATTTACTGATACAACTTTTAAAAATCATTACTTTTCGCATTAACTATAATTTTATTATTTATGTGATTATGCGAACATTCACATACAGAGCATTCACATTCAAAACATTTTTACCGAATAGGGAAGAAAGGATCTTTAAGGTCCACAAATTTTAAAAAAATATATTAAAACCTTAGTGTAAGAAAAATCCTTAAAGAAAAGTTAGTTGTAGCGCAGAGAATAATGGCTGCATGAGAAGAATAGCTGGAGAAAATGCAACATGTTTTGAAACTTTTTCCATCAAACTTCAGTCTTGTTGCCAAACCTTGTCTGGCTTCAAAGCTGTGTTCTCAGGAAACACTAAATTTATTCTTCTGTGTGTTAAGAGACACATGACATCACTAGATACTTTCTTTTTATTGTTTTGTGTTTTACAGCATTTCTAGATGGGCCGTAAAAGGAGGTTTCAGGAATGTTTCCAGATTTTTATGGGGTGACCTATGTACCCAACCCTGAAGAGAAAAAGTGGGAAGGAGTGTATCAGTGTTACTCTTTCTCTCATCCAACTCCCTGGCCATAGGCTTAACAGTCAATGCCAAGGAAATACAGGGATGTCGATGGCCAAGCTCCCACGTCTAAACTGGACCAACTATTGGCCACTTCCTTCACACACGGGAACAACCCTTCCTGTCCTGTATATCTCACAGCTGTGTTTTAAGGACAGAATGCGAATTAGGTATATGAAAGTATTTTGCAATTTATTGAAGCACTACATAAATAGGAGCCAAATCATATTATTCCTAAATATCGCCACAATGTGCATGGCAGGCAAACAAATGGAAGAGAACAAAGCAGACCTCTGATGCGCTAGGGAGGATGCTCAGAGAAGCTGGTTCAGGACTCCATCTGGATCCCTAGCTATAAGCCACCCTGTCAACATGCACTGTTGTTGCAAGGGTGAGACCCTCGGCGGCCCCGAACAATCCTTTATGGCATGTCTTCGAAATTAAGAGTAACTGCAGCTGTAAATCCAGCTTTACAGACCACACATTCTTTATTGCTATTATTGTTAACTAACTGCCATGTACCTGGCACTGTGCTAAGAGCTCTACCTACACTTAATCCTTCCAAGAACCCTCCGAAGTGATGTTGTCAACCCCGCCTTGCAGCTGAAGACACTGAAGTTTAGAGAGGTTAGGTAACCAGCCCAGGGTGTCACAGCTGAAGAGCAGAACTGGGACTTGCACTGCTTTAGAGTTGGCTACTCAGCTCCATAACCCATGTTTTTAACTACGAATTATATGGCTCCCCACCCCCCAGCACTGTTCCAGCTCCTCAGTACTTCTATGCATTTATTCAGTAATCAATTGTTCATGGTGCTAGTGTGCTGAATTCTGTGCAAAGCAGGTTTCGCCCCTGCTTGTCCATTTGTGTTACTCCTCACCACACCCAGCTGGCTCCTAACCACAGGGAGCCCTGCCCTACTTCTGTGCTCAGATGCTTTGAAAAACCTGATCCTGGGGTGTGCAGTCAGCAGCCTGGAAGGGTGGTAACTCACATTAGGTGCACGGTGTGCGGCTTCTTCCCCTCCAACTCCCATTGTTTGCGAGCCATCGCAGGATTTTCAAATTAGCCAATAATGAGTAATATTCAGTGAGGCTCACAGCTTTGGCATGTGGATTCAGACTCTGCTACAAGCCGGGAAGAATAATCCCTCTTTTGGCCCTGTTCTAGTTTCTCTCAGTCATAGAATTTCATGGACACTTAGCTAGTACTGAGAACTATGTATCTGGACCACAGTGGAAGCCTTGATCCACGCATATGTCCCGCATACAACATTCTCCCCCGCTGGTTGCAAGGAAGGTTTTACTTTTAGGAGCCAAGTTTTTGTCATGAGAGAAACCAAGGGATTCCTACAGAGTTTTAATGGGACACAAGAAGGATTCTATTCTGGGTTTTTGGAATATCCTTGCGCTCCTAACATTCGACAGTTCTATCTTCTACGTAAATGTTGTGAAAGCAAAAGCTTGGCTATATATCTTCTCGTTTTCATTAGGCATCCAATGCATTGGAGGAGCTTTGCATTACAATTATGGGGACTCTGCCAAAACCCCAGGTAAGGTTGAAATAGTATTTTATTTGTAGGGGAAAAAATTGCTCAGTGATACCTTGGAATTCCTTCTGGAAGAAAATATACCCAATTTAGGAAGCATTTCATGAAGAGCTAAAAGAGCCTAAGTTGATTTTGGATAAGAAACAAATACTTCAGCTTCTCAGATGTTTGAGAATTTCGCATCAATAATAATGGAGTTTATGATCATCTAATTGGAAAATCATATGCTCCCCTCATAAGACATATTCCAGTTCTGGTGAGAGAAATTTGGGATCATTTTGGCTCTTTTTGTCTTCCTAATTTATACTACAATTGGAGAACTGATGTGTCGCAGCTTAGAGGTTAAAACATTGTACTTTGTTAGAGAGAATATGAAAAAAGCAAACTTATTGTCAACATCAGTTTGAAAATTATATTCTTACTGGGGCTCCTGGGTAGCTCAGTCAGTTAAGCGTTGGACTCTTGATTTCGGCTCAGGTCATGATCTCAGGGTTGTGAGATTGAGCCCTGCATCGGGCTCCTCGGGCTCCTTGCTGGGCATGGAGCCTGCTTAAAATTCTCTCTCTCCCTCTGTCCCTCCTGCCCCCTCCCTGCACTCTCTCTCCCTAAAAAAAGAAAGACGAAAGAAAGAAAGAAAGAGAGAAAGAAAGAAGGAAATAGAAAAAAAGAAAGAAAAGAAAAAAAAGAAAATTTTATTCTTACTGTGATGCCTTGGTTTCTTAGTAAAATTATTCGATTCATCTAGGAGAACTTTTTGTCCTGGAATGAGGATAAGTGAGAACTTGAAAAATAGCATAATGCACTGTACCTTAGATTGTATTCTGTATCCTATAGATGAACTTATTTTCAAACTACTTTATTAAGGAAAAGAGCCACAGGCTTAGAATTACATTTTTCATTAATAATTCTAATCTAACTATGATCATTGGTGCATTCTGACTTCCACAGTTTTCACATTTAATAATCCAAAGAAACCTTGATATTTTAAAAGTATAAATGTTTCTGAAACTAAAACAAGTGTTTACAACTGTATTTTTGTAGTGTTTTTAGTGGTGTTATTTCCCAAACACTTAATTGACTTTTTTTCCTTATTAAGATAAAAGGAATGACAATCGTGCTCACCCATGAGTTTCTTTTTGTATTAAAAGCAAATGAGAACAAAAAAGAACAACAAAAAGGAATGATATGACTCATTCTTAATAAAACAGATTTTTGGATGGAAAGAGGAATATTGAAAAATTTATGGAAAAGACAAAAATAACTCAATCTTATTATTTAGTGGTAACAACTACAAGGATTTTGATGTGATTCCTTATAGTCTTTTTCTCTCAGGATTTTATTATGTGATCATGTCATAATTTCCTGTTTCACCACTGTTGAACTATTAGGATGTTTCTAATTTTATTGTTTACTTATAAATAATATGTAATTAATTTCCCATTTATTTTTAGAGCAATATATGCTTAACCAATTTCAGTTTAAAAAACTTTATAATGTTATAAACTTTATACTACATATAGTATATGATTATAATATACTACAATAATATAATAATATAGTATTTTATATATTATATATTATAATTTTATAATATGTTATATGTATGATATTTATTTCTCTCTTTTTTCAACAGGAAACAGATGAAAAAGATAATACCAAAAGGGTAAGGTGATTTCCATAAATACATACACTAAAAAATAATAAATGAAACCAGTAACCATCTATAGTAAATTTGACTACTTTTTTTTTAACAGTTCTTATTTCATTATTCGAAGACACGGAAATTGGGCAATTCAAATGTTGTGGTAAGGTGTAGAATTACTTCTTATTAGTAATCACTAGTATTTTTTTTAAATCTGTTTTTGCAGTTTAATAGAGCTAGGTCAGAATTCATGCTTTTTCCTTTAAAAGTTTATATGTGGATAAATAAGTGGAATTCAATATTTATTATACATTTAATTTATTTTATATCTTAATAACTACATGTACATTAAGTTTATTCATTCATTCAACAGTTATTTACTGGGTACCTATTATGTGCCAAGCACAAGTCTAGGTACTAGAAATACAGCAGTAAATGAAATAGAAAATTAAAAAAGAAATCCCTCCTGTTATGAAATTTACGTTCTAGATGCAAAAAAAAAGCACAAATGATTAAGTAAAACATATTGGTTTAGATATCAATTAGTACAAGGAAAAAACAGATTTAACCAAAGTCATTTTAAGAATTATCTTAAAAGAAAGATGATTGCCAAAAATGTCATTAAATATAACTAGAAATATCCACTTCTATTCTTCAGCTCTCCTTATTTGTAATTAGGCTTTTAATGTGAGAATTTACTAAGATTAGCCAGATACCAGTAACATGAATTCAGTTCACTCCTAAATTGTGTGGTTTTAGTGGTAGTTTTTCTTTTTATATGCATGGATTTTTAAAAGGCTATTCTGGTGTTTCAATCGGGAATGCTTAGTAATTATTCAACTATAATATTCCTTCTATGCTTGTGACTCACTCCCATGGACCAATTTAGGGAATGAGGAGCATAGTGTATTTTAAATATACGTGTACCTATGAAAAGGTAACTGTAATATAAACTCAGTTTTAAATGTTTGTCATATTGAATATTCTTATGTATGAGGAGTTGAATGTTAGGATGAATTGGTTAACAAATAACCATCATATAGGACTTAAAGTAATCCATTTGATAAATTTGAATTTAATATTTGTGAGAAGGTTCAATTCAAGCCATGCCTTTAAAATGAAACTATCAGGTATCCACACGTCTCAAATGTACTTTCATTTTCTTCTGCTCGACATCTTTACATTTTGAGAAAATGTATCTTAGTCACATTTTTCACTATCAATGACACATTTGTCACTTTTTGTGTCCCCTGTTGTCTTGTTCCATATGTTCAGTTTTAAATACAATATATATTTTGTGAAGGAGATTCCCAGATGTGTGTACCGGATAATCTTCCAGACAAACATTTTCATAGCAGAAAACTGATTCTCACAGAGTTGGTTTCATCTGTCCAAACCATTTTGCCTAAGTCTGGAAGCAGACAGCCTTTTGCCTCTCAGAGATGCAGGTGGTTGATTTACTTGCTGGCAGCTGATGATGGGGCTGAGGCCCTAAGGAAAGTGTTTCTTCAGCATAATGACAAGGATCCTAGCATAGAGCTACCACATTTTTTTCAATCTCTTGGCTTATTCTCCATGTTCTTTGAAGTGCTTTCAAAGGGCTACATTACGTAACATCTTTCTTGTTCTTTTTTGTCTGGAGCAAGTAGAGTGGGTAAAACCAAAACCAAAACCAAACAAATAGGAAACTGTCTTTATGCCCAATGCTGAGATGATTTTGTGCTCATCACGTGTGTGTGTGTGTTCGTGTCTCTCAGTCGTCTGTCATGCATCCGTTACTGCAGCTTGTTCCTCAACTGCATGAGAGAAGAATGAAGAGATTCAGACTGGACGTATGTAACACAAACTGCATGCTTGCTTTGCCACTCTTTGTGGGGCCGTTAATTCCCAGTTGTGGTGATGTAGAAGACACTCTTTTTCAGGATAAGCCTGACATAAACACCCTAAAGAAGAGCATCTCTTTGCAGAAGTGTTTTCACTCAGGAAGAAAAGAGAATCTCGTTCCCCCTCCCCATATTACGTCCCCTCAGATCCAAGCTGAGGGCAATGAGGGAAGCTGGGGTTACATTCCCTTCCAAGGGCCGTGACCCTCCCAGTGAGGAAACCTATTCTTGGCTTAAGGAAAGGACACAGCAACGTGCCTAGTCCTTAGGTAGGAACAGGAGAAAAGATGAAGGACAATTTACCGCCCCTCGGTGAACAGGTTGGCTGTTGGCTAGGATGGTAAGCTTTCTATGTTAGGAAGATGTTAGGAAGAGTAAGGCTTGTGAAGTAAATAGATCAGAAACTAAACTCAGGCATTTTGGGTTTTTCACAATTAAACAGAAATATGGCCCAAATCCAGTATCTGTTTAAGAGGAATACAACTGGGTTTTAACAGGTTTTTAACTAGAGATTGTGGAGTTTTTATTGTCATTTAAAAAGAATTTTTAACTCTTTCATTGATGAAAGTTTCTAGGTATTATTTTTAAGTAATGCCTTACATTGTTGTAATGCATTATAGTTTTAAGTCTTACATTACCTCAGTTTATTCTTTTGGCAGCTCTGTTAGTACTTATACAAGTATTGTTATCCCCAGGGGCACCTGGGTGGCTCAGCAGGTTAAGCGTCTGCCTTCAGCTCAGGTCATGATCCAAGGGTCCCGGGTTAGGGTTAGTCGAGCCCCGCATTGGGCTCCCTGCTCAGTGGGAAGCCTGCTTCTCCCTCTGCCTGCTGCTCCCCCTGCTTGTGCTCACTCTCTCTCTTTGTGTCAAATAAATAAATAAAATCTTCAAACAAACAAACAAGTATTGTTATCCTCAGTTTGCTAAAAGGGAAACAACTCAGAATAAAGGTGTTTCCCAAGACCATGCTAGTAAGTGAGGTTAGAGATTACAGCAGTTTTCTGACTTCTAGTCTAGGCAAATACTTTTTTCACTATGCTGTCTTTTTATTGTCTAATCTAGGATACTTCTATTATTTCTTTAAAAGATTTTAAGTGATCTCTACACACAATGGGGCTTACAACCCCGAAATCAAGAGTGGCACACTCCACCGACTGAGCCAGCCAGGCTTCTCTTATTTTATTGTTAGATTTTCCCTTAATTTAAGTACCATGTTAATTTTATTCTTAAAATACTACCAATGGTCTTCAAGTACTTTTAAAAAATGCATACAGTTTAGGCAAATAAATTCCTCAAAATTTATTTTTATGGTCACTATTTCCTTACTAAATTCTTCACATTCTTAAACTAAGCTTCCATCAAGGAAGACAAAATCTGCTGCCAACTTGAATAAGAAATGTAAGAGGAATTGTAATAGCCTCTTAAAATTTTAGGATTTTCAGTATGAAAAAATGAATAAAATTCGTTGTCAACAAACATCCTAGAAGTAATATATGCTTTTTGGAATTAACTTTTACTTTCCGAAGATTTTGCTTGACTGATGAAAAGTGTAAGATTTCAATTTAAAGATCCAGTTTCTTAAAACACACCAACAAATTATTAGTTTACTATATCACTCCAGTGTCATTGTTTACTAGAGCTAAACACTCAGTATTGTGGCCTGTTTGGGTCTTTGAATGTTCTACTTTGAGTGAGACTATATTTCCAGAAAACTAGCTGAATATATAACCTCTGACTTAGCAGTCTATCCTGTTGGACAAACAACTCCTAAAAGTATTTTGCAACAAGCCAAGTTTCATAGGAACCGATGAAGGAAAAGAATGTAAGACACAAATAGAAAAAAATTACAGTAGAGTGTTAGCTTTGCTGGGCCTAAGTCACCTAATTTTAAAACAGATTTTTGATAGTGAAATGTTTTGTGTTCTTAAAGAAAATGAGTTTTCAGATCTTAGTGCATTCAGACACTTTTCTTAAACATTCTTTGTTAGACATCCTCACTTCCATCCCACAGCTTTTTTATTTCTACTTCCCAAATTCTTTCTCCAATAAGAAGACTAAAAAGACCTGTATGTTTGGGCTTGAAAGTTTTAAAATTGGACACTATTTCAGTTACATTTTTCCCTGCCTTTTTTTCCTGTTTAAAATAACATATATAACTTTTCTTATATAAGCATATAAATATATAGTTTCTAAGTGTACATTTTAAAATATTATGTAATTTGGGGAGTGTATAGTCAGGATGAGAATTAGGTACAAAATATTGAGAATTTAAGATATATTACTTGTAAAGCAAGGATTTTGAAGTTTTTTTTTTAAGTTTATTTATTTAGGTAATCTCTACACCTAATGTGGGGCTCGAACTCATGACCCTGAGATCAAGTCACATGCTGTTCCAACTGAGCCAACCAGGCACCCCAAATTAATATGGAATTTCAGAATTTTATAGATGTCAGAGCCATTTCTTAGAATTTAAAAATTTTATTATACTTACATTATGGAATAATTTCAAAAGGCTTTGATGACAAATTTCATAATGATTGCCATCCTGATTTTTTTTTTTAAGATGTATTTATTTATTTATTTATTCAAAAGGCTTTGATGACAAATTTCATAATGATTGCCATCCTGATTTTTTTTTTTAAGATGTATTTATTTATTTATTTATTTGACAGAGAGAGACACAGTGAGAGAGGAAACACAAGCAGGGGGAGTGGGAGAGGCAGAAGCAGGCTTCCCACTGAGCAGGGAGCCCGATGCGGGGCTGGATCCCAGGACCCTGGGATCATGACCCGAGCCAAAGGCAGACGCTTAATGACTGAGCCACCCAGGCGCCCCACCAACCTGATACTTCTATAAGAAGTAGTTGTTGAAAATAGGAAACTATAAGAACCTATTTTGTGGAAACCATAAAACGTTAAATCTTTCCATTGTTTAAAATGAAATGTTTTAAGAAAAGAACCACTTCAAAATATACCCATTATGAGAAATTGGTTTGTTCTTATTTGGTATATTTTTCATTATCATTTCTGTGAATATGGAAAATATTGGGAAAATCTACTCAAATCTCCCTGAATATAGTTTACCAAAGTTGTCCCTCAATTTCAATTTCAATTCCTATAGAAATATAGGAAGTGTTTTAGATGTGTTTTAGCTCTGGCATGATTCTATTTTATATTTTTCCCTGTTCATGTGGTAGCACATACAATATGTATCTTAAGGAAACTATTTCATTGTAACAAAATGCTGAGAGGAGATTTTAAATAAGCTAATTATCTATGAACTGTCATTTCTCATTCTACTTATTGCTGAATAGACATACAACTGACAAACTTCCTAGAAGCTGTTATGTTGATAAGGAAATTATTTTATTATTTTATTTAAAAAAATTTTTTTAAGTTAACTCTACCCCCAACATGGGGCTCGAACTCATGACCCTGAGATCAAGAGTTGCATGCTCTACCGGCTGAGTCAGCCAGCTGCCCCTAGGAAATTATTTTAAAATACAACATTCTGGTGATATTGCTAGGTGAAAATTCCTCAGGTATACATTCAAAGATTCCTTATTGATAGGAATTATATACTCAAGTCCTTGATTCCCTCCTTTTAAACTATGGTAGATGAAAGTAACTTGGAGTTTCACTAAGAATTCAATAACAATTTGCACTTATTTTTACTGTTAGTTGATGTGTAATGCCCTCATTTTCTCTTCCAGGAAGAATTCCAAGGTCCTATCCAAATTCGAAGACAGTTTTTGTTCAGGGTATGCAAATACCGTATTTAAAAAAAAAATCACTCAACATTAAAATTGAAAAAATACACTGTGCATTTATTTACATTAAGTTTTTAAGTTTGTGTATAGATATTTGAAATCAGGTGTTCTAGTCTGAGATTCACTTCTTCCCCCACTGTATTGTTTTAATATTATGGTATCTCTGATCTTTTCTTTAATCCACTCATGTTTGTAAATACCCCAAGTGACATTCACCTATTAAACAGTTTAGTTCTATAAAATTTCATGTGTAGGAAATGAGTGTCTTAAAGATGCATTACTCCTTAAGTTCCAAAGAATCATTTACTAAATATTTGATTCAGGAGACTGGAAGAGTTATGACTATTTTCATAAGTTTTTAAAAGTAAAAGAATCAACTATACTAGAGGCTGTAAGTAGACAAAACTTTGTAATTGCATTTAGTATTTTGTTTGTCCAAATTGTGTACAAAATATGAGTTTCTTTCTAAGGAGCTTTACTTTCTAAAATGTTTGTATCCTTACTATATTACCAGAGATTTTTTATTCATTCATTTAGCAAGTTTTTTGAATTTCTAGTGGGTGCTAGGCAATGTTGCAAAGACTAGAAGCATACAGATAGATAGGATTCCATTCTTATGCTCTAAGAGTTTACAGTCTAATAGAGAAAATTGATAAATAAACAAATACAAAATACTATGTTAAATGCACCTTCATTCCAGGGGCTGAGGTTTCTAAAAGAAACGTATTTAACCCAGGCCAGAGAGTGGAGGAGTACAGAGAAGGCTTTAAGGGCCGAATTTGAAGAATCAACAGGAATTAGCCAGTGAAATAGTTAACTAAGGAATTTCAACTTTATTGTTAGGCTAAGAAGAGCCATATGGTAAGATTTGCATTTTGGAAACGAATTCTAACAACAAATTGGAGAATGGATGGAAGGAAGAACAAAACTAGATAAAAGAAGAAATAATAACACCCATCAAAATCATTAGGTTGCTTTGTATGAAAGTTAACTTCACTCCTTACACTGATTTATTTCTTATTTCTTATTTTTCTAGCCACGCAATGGAAGAAGTTCAGAAGGTTACATTTAAAATGGTATGCACTTCCCAATTCAACCCAGTTTGGAAATTTCTGTCATTTTCAGATATTCACAAATTAAACTATGCTCAGTATATTTCTATTACTTGATTGCATGTGTACATTAATATTCTATATACATACTACTGTTATAGGGGCAATGGGGGCTTTATATGATGGAAAATGTCAGTATTTTAGGGCCAGATTTGCTTTGTCCATGTTCCTCGGACTATGCCACAATAGTCCTCACTGGTTTTGTAGACATTGACCTTATCATCATTTATCGTGCAAGTAATATGTCAGGGATTGTGTTCTTACTGTGGTAATCAGTGTCCACAATAATGGGCCAAAACTTACAGATTGAATGCATTTCTGCCTTCCAAGTGACCTGTATTCAAAGATTCTTTATAAAAGCTGTGATTTACCACTTCTAGAGAACTAAGAAAATGTGGAAGGCATAAGAACATGACTTCTACTTTAGGACTCACAGAGTTTCCACATCAAGTCTGGAGATAGAGTAGATATATGGGTGGCCCTACATATTTAATAAATATGTTAATCCCAATATCTTATTAGCCTGTGAATTTTGAAATTAAACCCAAATGCAGATTGATAAATTTATACCACACAAATAAAAGAATATTCTATTAACTTCATGTAATCTTAAATGCAGATTCTATGCTTAACATATTTTTGCAAATATTTTTTTCATATCACTATCTCAACCTTTAAACACATAGTTAGCTTAAGAATGTTAAAATTCTTAGTATTTTCTCATAGAAACAAAAATTAAAATGCACTATTTCTAACTAATGAAGGTAATACCAAAAATTATACAATATCCAGAAAATAAAGAGATAATAAAAACATTGCATGTTAAAACTTATGGGACTCTGCCAAAGCCATATTCAGTAGAAAATTCAAGGCTTTAAATGCTATCAAGCAAGAAAGATGAGTGAATTAAGGGGATGTAGTTCAAAAAGTTAAAAAAGAACAAGGTGAACCTCAGGACAGCAAAAGGAAGAAAATTATAAAATGAAAAATGGAATTAATACATTATAAAATAGTAAAATAGAAGAACTGGTAAAGCAAAATCCAATTATTTGCAAAAAATAAAATAAAATAAACTAACCTAATTAGCCTACCTTGATCAAGAAAAAAGAGAAACCATAAATATACAAACATATAAATGAAAGTAAGGAAATTAAAACAGATATAGAAGAAATGGAAATCATAAAACAGTACTTTGCAAATCTCTGTGCCTATCAGTTTGAAAACCTGAATAAAATGGAAGATTGTCTAGTAAAGTAGGTACTTCCAAAATTGATGTCAGAAGAAAGAAAAAAAAAAAAACCCTCTGAACAGACTAATGACCATGGAAAAAAATTGAAAACATTATCTAGGAACTCCCCCCTTAAAAGTAGTAGACCAATAGATTTTGAATTTTTATAGCTCAGAAACAGAAGAAAATCTCAAAATATTTTTTATGCAGCCAGCAATACTAATACCAAAACCTTATAAAAGTAGTATAAAAAAGGAAACTGTAAGTAATCCTATTTATAAATATCAATGCAAAAATGTTAAAGAAATATTAGTAAATTGTATTCAGCAGTATATTTTTAAAATCATGTAACTCCATAGAAATGAAGTTTGTTCGGGCGCCTGGGTGGCTCAGTTGGTTAAGTGACTGCCTTCGGCTCAGGTCATGATCCTGGAGTTCCTGGATTGAGTCCCGCATCAGGCTCCCTGCTCCGCAGGGAGTCTGCTTCTCCCTCTCCCACTCCCCATTTGTGTTCCCTCTCTCGCTGTGTCTTTCTCTGTCAAATAAATAAATAAAATCTTTAAAAAAAAAAAAAGAAATGAAGTTTGTTCTAACAACTCAGGATGGTTAAACATTAGGAGATCTATTAAAATATTTTCACTATTAGAAGAAAAATTATTTAATCATCTCAAAATTCCACATCAATGTCTGCTGTTTTAAAAGAACATCTTATAGAAAGAGATGAATCTTTATTAACATGATTTATATAATGGTCTCAAAGTCAGTAGCAGTCTTGATAGTAAAACACTTTGGAGAATTTCTGTTGTCAGGAACAAAAACAAAAATAATCTGTCACCTTTTATTTAATGCAGTTCTTATACATTAGCCAACTCAGTTAGATAAGACAGAAATAAAAGAGACAAATATATTGAAAACGTGAAGAAAAAATTTAATGTGTTCATGGGACATAATTAGGAACTTAAATTTTCAGACTATATTTGGCATTAATTCCTGTTTCAGCAAAGGCCTGTTCACATCAGAAATAGGAGCAAATATATTCTTAATTATTTATTTATTTATTTATTTATTTATTTATTTTAAAATTCTTTCCCTTTTTTTAAGGCACTAAGAACAAAAGGATAATGGAAAAGAAGCTATCTTTTATAATATTACAAAGTGGAGACATTTATAAAATGTGAAACCAAAAAATAGTTTAATACTAAATGGAAAAAATGTCTGTGCTCATAACACCAAACCAAGTGGTAGAGTGCTCACAAACGTGAAATGGAATTTAATCCGCGATTTGGTTAATTGAGTAAAAACTTCTCTTTGAGGAAAATAGCTTTATTTGGATTTTTTTCAAGATTAGGGCTTACACGGACTAGCTCACTTAAGATTTCATTTTATTTTGTCAGTAGCGGAACAGTTCAATAATCATTTTTTCTTTGTTTTTCTCATCTGATTATCTGAGGTCTTGCTCTGTCCTGAGGATTTATACTTACTTAGAAAATGGTTAGACATAAAATAGGATGATTTAATTGCACAAAAGGAAACAAATACGTGAGGAGTAACTGCAACTTTTGAAATACTTTATTCATAAATCTTTTTTTTTTTTTGAGAGAGAGAGATAATGATAGAAAGAGAGCATGAGAGCGGGGAGAGTCAGAGGGAGAAGCAGACTCCCCGCCGGGCAGGGAGCCCGATGCAGGGCTCGATCCCGGGACTCCAGGATCACGACCTGAGCCCAAGGCAGTCGCTTAAACAACTGAGCCACACAGGCGCCCTTTATTCATAAATCTTATTGGCATCAATGAACTTTAGGAAACCACTTTCTGTAGTTAAATACTGTAAAATTTTGGAAAATACAGACATATAGAATAAGTGTTCTATCAGAGAGAGATTAATAGCTAAAAATATACAGACTGAAGAATAGCTGAGAAGTCTCTCTCATGTCAATTTTATCATACATGAAGAAATTTTTATAGAAACGTCTGTATACTAACATTACATACACACCTTCACATACTCACTTATACTTGACTCTAAATTTAATTTTTCTTTTTATACAGGATAACCAACTATTTTCCACAGAAGCGGCACCAGGGAATGCAAAATGTTAACATTTTTTTTTCTTCTCAGAAACAATCCTTGTTAAACTTATCATGTGTGAGAATCCCTGTGTTGTAAACATTCTCAATAAAAGTTGGTTGAGATTATGTTTAATTTGTTGACAATTTTTTTTTAAAGGTTTTATTTATTTGACAGAGAGAGAGACACAGCGAGAGAGGGAACACAAGCAGGGGGAATGGGAGAGGGAGAAGCAGGCTTCCCGCCGAGCAGGGAGCCTGATGTGGGGCTCGATCCCAAGACCCCGGGATCATGACCCGAGCCGAAGGCAAATGCTTAATGACTGAGCCACCCAGGCGCCCCAATTTGTTGACAATTTTAAAAGCATCTTAAAATATTTTTTTCTTATGTAATAAAGCTCTAAATAATGATGTTCCTTAGATCCATGCAACTTTTGACAGTACAGTTGACCCTTGAACAACACAGGTTTGAACTGCAAGATCTACCTATACATGGACTTTTTTCAAAAAATACAGTACAGTACAGTAAGTGTATTTCCTCTTATTTTTAAAAATAATTTATTTATTTTGAGAGAGAGAGAGAGAGTGTGCACACAAGTGGGGGGGGAAGGGGGAGGGAGAGAGAGTATCTCAAGCAGACTCCCTGCTGAGCGGGGAGCCCAACTTGGGGCTCAATCCCACAACCCTGAGATCATGACCTAAGCCGAAATCAAGAGTCAAAGGAACACTCAACTGACGGAGCCACCCAGGTGCCCCTATTTCCTCTTACTATTTTGTTAATAACATTTTCTTTTCTCTAGCTTACTTTATTGTAAGAATACAGCATATAATATATATACAAAATATGTGCTCATTGACTATGTTATTCGTGAGGTTTCTGGTCAACAGTAGGCTATTAGCAGTTAAGTCTGGGAGATTTTGACTGAGCAGGGGGTCCTCCTAACCCCTGTGTGGTTCAGGGTCAACTGTACTGACACACATGCTCTTTTTTTATTTTTATTAAAGGCACTCAGAAGAGAGTTGAGTTTTAATGAGCTATTTTAGTTCATCCTATTTGGATTTCATCAGTGACAAAATCACCAGCTCTTATAAATCCCATAGAGTCCAGTAGCTAACTATCTTAGAATGTGACTACCAACTAAAACTACACTAGTTGGAGAATTTGGCCATTATCCATCAAAATAGTCCAGTAAGCAAGTTCTGATTTATCTACCGAGAGATGTCTGATTGCTACAAAAATACCAGGGTTTAGCTTTTTCTACCACCTAATAGTGTTCAATTTATCTTTAAAAAAAGTCACTTTACCCTGCAATATCTGAAAGGCAACCAGTCTTGTCCATTGCCAGAAAGAAAATCTCACTAGTAGAGGATCATGAACACACTTGGAAAACTTTTGACATCAAAATCAGTGTTTATTGGACACAGAATTAACCTCAGATGGATGCTGAGATTATCCCTGGATTTTTCCCTTCTGACTCCCCTCTTGGATAACCTCCTCCACCACCAAGCAGGCTGGCTGATTAGGGGAGGTTGGCTCTAGAGTGGGTAGGATTGTCTTAACTTCTTCAGGGTAGAGACCCTCACAAAGCTTTATCTTCCAATGCCGACCAATAATTACAGCTTAAGGGGCGCCTGGGTGGCTCAGTCGTTAAGTGTCTGCCTTCCGCTCAGGTCATGATCCCCGGGTCCTGGGATCGAGTCCCACATCGGGATCCCTGCTCGGCGGGAAGCCTGCTTCTCCCTCTCCCACTCTCCCTGCTTGTGTTCCCTCTCTCGCTGTCTCTCTCTGTCAAATAAATAAATAAAATCTTTAAAAAATAAAAAAATAATTACAGCTTGAATTATGCCTTTTACTAACAAAGTCCCTGAATTTCACTTCTTGTCAACCCATGCAAAGAATGTAAGGAAGAAGACAAAAAATTTTAAAAATGAATTGCTTTGAAAGATGGGGACTTGAGAGGCTTGAGGGCCTCCTGCTCTAAAGCCACAAATATATAGGGCAACATTAGTTAGTGCTACACACAGTGGTAATTCAACTAGCGTGGATTTTGGATTGTCAAAATAAAAGGGAATCAAATATTAATTTAAGCAGTTCCCAGGGCCTCTTAGAAATACAGAGAGACTTAAGTCATTTACATTTTTCAGGGCTCCCAGGATATTTAAAAAAAAAAAAAAAGGCAGAAAAAATACCAAAACATGGTTACAAAAATTGTGGGATGCTTTAAAATATTTTATATTTAACAAATTAATATTTTATATACAAACACAACAAAATATATAGACTCCCAGGAGTACAGGATTTGTATTAAATATTAACTGGGCACTACACATGAAGTGGTCCAATACTGAACCCAAGTTTAAAATTGTGTCACTAAAAACGTTTTTTTCTTCTTTTCCAAATCCTATCAGTAGACCTCTGTGACCATGTATATAACCTTATTTGGTGATAACATCAAATGTTTTCCTCCCATTCCTGGCAGCTCCCAGCAAACATACTTTACTTAACCTAACCGCCAAGGAACCCGACTGTCTAGGTTTCCTACCTAAAGCCAGAGTTCCTGTCTTCTAAGACAGTGAGTGGGTTTTTAATATGGGGGTGGAAAGCCATTGAGCATCTGATGAAAGTTCTGGTCCTAAACCCCCAATTCCTACGCCCTCCCCCAACCAACAAATGTACACATACAACAAAATTATGTACAATTGGGGGCTGTGGGCTAGGGATCCCTTAAAATCCATCCAAATATAGGCTATGGGCTCCAGGTTAGGAAGCCCTCCTCTGGAGGGTTCTCTCCCCAGGATTTTGTTATTTCTCCATGAAGATAGGACTCTGGGGTTGAAGGGTGCCAGAGGCTCTGAAACAACTCTGAAACAACTTGATTCGGTGGTGGTGGAAGGAAGGGTGGGAAGAATACGAGCACCAGTACTAGACTGCAAACAGGTGAGGCACCGCTTAGGCTAGATGGCCCGGACCTGGTGCATCTGTACCCACAGCAACCCCGCCAGGCTGCGCCTCCACGTTGCCTGGCAACAAAGCTGCACCCGCTGGCGCGCATGCGTAGGAGGCCCTTGCTCTCCCCTCCCCCTCCCCTTGGGCGGTGGTAACCGCTAGACCTGGCTGGCTTCCAGCTTGAAGGAGACTTCGGTGTGAGTCAGGAGTCCTTCACCAGGGGCAGGACGACGCTGGCACGCGAGGGGCGAAGGGGAACGCCATGCAGGTGGGCACCCAGGGGAGTCCCCGTCTGGGCCTACAGTGAGCACCAAGGTGGGGGGCGGCCCACAATGGGTGGCTTCTAACATTTGTTCTGGTACGAGCTAAATTTTGCGTGCGTCTTTGTCGAGGTTTGAGGGGAGTCCGGATTGACTCCAGGAGAACACCATTTTTAAACATTCAAGACTTCGGTTTGTCACTGGGGGGAAGCATTCAGAGTTTTTGAGGATTGTGTTTCACACCTGTGTCCTTGGAGCTGGACTGCTGCACTATTTCTGACTCGAGAAATAGACCAGCAACTTTAGCCCAAGTGTAATTCAATTTAAATATTCTGCTCCCTTACCTTAAAAAAAAAAAGATCAGAACGGAAACCCAGTAGTTGCATTGTCTTGAGAGAGACCAACTGTCCTGGAGTTCTCCTACCTGACTGCAAAAGCTCTGTTAGGCTTCCATTTATTCCTTAGGAGGAGGCTCCTCTGTCTAAAGCTTCCTTATTAACCAGAAAAGCCTGTGCCTTTGTTTCTTCTTTTGTCAGAGTAAAATTCTCTTTCTGACTTTCAGAAACAGCTTCTCCTCACCTGCTCCCCCAAATTAAAACCACTGTGATTTTTCTTGTTTTACATATTTATTTTTATTTGCATATACTGTATAATTTACTAGAATATTTTGAACATAAATTACATATAATTTTTAATGGATAGTCCTTTTGTGTTAATAATAGATTCCTAGCAAGTACATTTTATCCAGTCTGTGAAAACGTTGCAAATTTGTCTGGATTTATACCTGCTCTTCAAGAAATAGGCCAACATATAATTGAGAGTGAAGTTAACAGCACGTTAACCTTTGTTCATTTATTCATTGATTTATTCAACAGCCAGTTATTCAGTGTTTATGTTTAGTTATGGACTTATCCTAAAAGAGTTTACTATGAGGGAATATAAGGGAGACAGATGTTAACTATTTGTAGTATGATAAAAGCCATAATAGTTTTAAATAGATTGTGGTACCTATTTTTTTTTTTTTAAGATTTTATTTGTTTATTTGAGAGAGAGAGGGAGAGAGCACAAGCAGGGGGAGCAGCAGAGGCAGAGGGAGAAGCAGGCTCCCCGCTGAGCAGAGAGCCCGATGCAAGGCTCCATCCCAGGATTCTGGGATCGTGACCTGAGCCAAAGGCAGACGCTTTAACCGACCGAGCCACCCAGGCGCCCTGGTACTTATTTCTATCTGATAAAATTTCATAGATAATTTCTAAAAGTGAAGGAAAAAATAGACTATAGAGCCTTTACTGTTAAATTCCATTGCAATGAACTCCTAGATCAGTTAAGGAAGAGCCGAGAAGGTATAAAACCATAAGAATGTGGCATCAAGAATATCAAGAAAGACCATTTTAACAAGAAAGGAATGGCAAAGTCTCTCCAGTTCTGCTTAAGAGATCAAATACAACGAATATCCATTGACATGAACAACATGGAGCTTGTAGGTGACATTAGCTAGAGCACTTTTGAAAGTATTGGGAGCAAACTTTGGAGTGGGTCGAAGAGTTAATGGGAGGTGGAAGTGGTTACAGCTTATGTAGACAATTGTTTCAAGAAGTTTAACCATGAAGGAGAAAACAGAAGATGGTAGGGGATGTCAAGTGCAGAGGGAGTTTTTTAAAAAGGTAGTGCTGGAATTTTTGATGCTAGTGAGCTACTCCTGCTGCATACAAGTAAAAATGCTGGCTAACATGTAAAACATAATTTCTTTAAAAGCATCAAAGGGATGACATGATAGTAAGAAACTATGAGACCAAAACTGAAGGGAAATTGGAAAATGAGGTAAATGGATTTCCACAGTTCCAAAGCCACTTTTACACTGAAGGCATTAGCAGTCTGTGTTTTGATCCTGGGTATAGTCACAGGGTGAGAAGGAATCAGAGGGTTATGGTCCACCAAAGGATGGTAGACTAATAGGAGTAGGAACAAGAGATAAACTCATGTCTACGGGAACTCAGGGAAGGTTGTCTTGATGCTTAGTGGAACAGGGGAGAAAAAGAAAAGGAATAATACCTGTCCCCAAGAAGTTGTGGCCCAAGGCAACTCTCACATAGATTACAACCTAAGGCATATTGTCTGGGTGGTCTAGCAAGCCTCAAATTATGAATTTGATATATATATATATATTTTAGTTATATACTTAGTGCCTATAAATGCCTGGAAGAAATAAAAAATCCTCTGTGTAGGAGCTATCTTTATCTTAGGCCTCAAAGAATTCCCTCAGGTAAGTTCTCAGAAATCAATCAAAAGTAATCAAGCACACAAAGGAAACAGGTCACCATGAACATGAACCAACAGAAGACTTTTGTTCAGGTTATAAAACAATTATGTTTCTTAGTTTAAAAAAGTAAAAGACTAGATTGAAATTACCTGCAGGGAGTAGTGAGCTTAAAAATTCGGTGAAGACATATCTTTACACGACAATGAATAATCAAAAAAAAATTAAGAAAGCAATTCCCTATATATTTGCATCAAAAAGAATAAAATACTTAGGAATAGGGACATCTGGGTGGCTCAGTCTGTTAAGCGTCTGCCTTTGGTTTAGGTCATGATCCCAAGATTCTGGGATCAACTCCCACACTGGGCTCCTTGCTTAGCTGGAGCCTGCTTCTCCCTCTCCCTCTGCTGCTCCCCCTGTTTGTGTACTCTCTCTCTCTCTCTCTGACAAATAAATAAATAAATAAATAAATCTTTAAAAAAATAAAATACTTAGGAATAAATGTAACCAAGAAGGCAAAAGACTTGTACACTGAAAACTACAAAACACTGCTAAAAAAATAAATAAATAAAAATTAAAAAACAAACAAAAAAAAAAAACACTGCTAAAAGAAATTAAAGAAGACATAAATAAGTAGAAAACAACCCATTTTCATAGATTGGAAGATTTAAATTGTTAATGTGTCAATACTTCCCCAAACAGTCTACAGGTTCATTGTAATCCCTACCAAAATCCCAATGACATTTTTTGTCGAAACCCATCTTAAAATTCATATGAAATCTTAGGAGACCTGGAATAGCTGAAACAGTCTTTTAAACGGTGAACAAAGTTGGAGGACCCAATTTCTGATTTCAAAATATACTGCAAAGCAGCAGTAATCGAAACCATGTGGTACTGACAGAAGACAGACATATAGACCAATGGAATAAATTAGCCCAGACAGAAACCCTCACTGGTCAAATGATTTGCAACAATGCTAAGATCATTCAAGTGAAAGGATAGTCTTTTGACAAATGGTGCTGGGAAAACTGGATATCCACATGCAAAACGAATGAAGTTGGGCTTCTAACTCACATTATAAACAAGAGTTAACTGAAAAAGGATCAAAGACCTAGATGTAAGAACTAAAACTACAGAACACTTAGAAGAAAACATAGGGGGAAATCGCCATGAAATTGGATTGGCAATGATTTCTTGGATTGACACCAAAAAAACAGGCCAAACAAAGAAAAAATAGATAAATTGGACTTCATAAAATTTTTTTTTTAAGATTTTTTTTTTTTTAAGATTTTATTTATTTATTTGAGACAGAGAGAATGAGAGAGACAGAGAGCACATGAGAGGGGGAAGGGTCAGAGGGAGAAGCAGGCTCCCTGCCGAGCAGGGAGCCCGATGCGGGACTCGATCCCGGGACTCCAGGATCATGACCCGAGCCGAAGGCAGTCGCTTAACCAACTGAGCCACCCAGGCGCCCTGGACTTCATAAAAATTTAAAACTTTTATGCATCAGAGGACATTGCTCTAATCAATTGAGCAAAATACAAACCACAGAATGGAGAAAATATTTGTAAATTATATATTTGATAAAATATTAATATCCAGAATATATAAAAAACTCTTAAAATTCAATATCAAAAGGACAAGGCAATTAAAAATAATCATATGAAAGGATGCTCCACATCTATGTCATCAAGGAAATGTAAATTAAAATAAGAGACCACTACACACCTATTAGAATGGCCAAAATCTGGAGCACTGACAACACTAAATGCTGGCAAAGATGTGGAGCAACAGGGACTCTCATTTATGGCTGGTGGGAATGCAAAGTGATATAGCCTTTGGAAGACAGTTTCTTATAAAATTATACATACTCTTACCATTCAGTCCAGCAATCACATTCCTTGGTGTTTACCCAAAAGAGCTGAAAAGTTATGTCCACACAAAAACCTGCACTTGGGTGTTAATAACAGCTTTATTCATCATTGCCAAAACTTGGAAGCAAACCAAGATGTCCTTCAGTAGGTGAATGGATAAACAAATGTGGTATATCCAGAAAATAGAACATTATTTAGTGCTTAGAAGGAAATGAGTTATCAAGCCATGAAAAGACATAGAGGAACCTTAAATGCATATTACTAAGTGAAAGAAGCCTATCTGAGAAGGCCACAAACTGTATGAACCCAACTATACACCATTTTGGAAAACTATGGAGACTTTCAAAAGGTCACTGGTTGAAAGTGGGGAAGGGATGAGTAGGCAGAGCACAGAGGATTTTTAGTGCAGGGAAAATACACTGTATGATACCATAATGATGAATACATGTCATCATGCATTTTCCCAAACTCATAGAATATACACCCAAAGGGAACCATAATATACACTATAGATTTCAGGTGATTCTGATGTGCTGATGTAACAAACATGTCATTTCAGTGGAGGATGTTGGTAATGGTGGAGGCTGTGCATGTGTGGGGCAGAAGGTATATTGGAAATCACTGTATCTTCCATTCAGTTTTGCTGTGAACCTAAAACTGCTTAAAAAATAAAGTCTTAATAAAAAAAATAGTTGCTGTTTTATTTTGGCTTTTTAAAAAATGTTGAAACAACATTTTATTTATTTACTTATTTATTAAAGATTTTATTTATTTGAGAGAATGAGAGCAAGAGAGAGAGCATAAGCAGGGGGGGGAGCAACAGAGGGAGAGGGACAAGCAGACTTCCTGCTAAGCAGGGAGCCTGACTTGGGGCTTGATC